AGAAGGTACATCCATCCTCTGGCTTACTCTCCAGCTCGGACCAAACCAGGGCAGATGCCAGGAGCCAGGAACACCTCCTGGGTCCCCCACACGAGTGGCAGAGTCCCAAACACTTGGGCCATGTTCTACTGCCTTCCTTGGTGCCACAGCAGGGAGCTGGACGTGCCCGGTGCCCATGTGGAATGCTGGTGCTACAGGAGGTGCTTTAACCGCACTGCACCACGACACCAGGCCTGGCTTCTCCCTTGACAAGTTCCTGTGGGAGGCAGGTCTCTGCTGTCGTCTCCAGGATCCAGAAAGTTCCACGATCCTGTTTTTACTGCGAGAGAACAGAGTCCCCATGGCAGAGGAGGGGGTCGCTCTAGAAAGGATGGAATTGAGCTCTGAAAACGGGAGAGGCCCGGCAGGGCCTGGGTCTAGCGGTGGGTGGCGGTTAAGACCAGGAGTGGTGGAGGTCGGCAGGGAGCAAAGGGGCTTGAGGCTAACGAAGCTCCATCACTCACAGGTGGGGAGGAGCTGGAGGTGGTGGAGCGAGGCTGTGCCCACGCAGAGAAGAGCAACAGGACCCTGAGTTACCGAACAGGCCACAAAATCATCAGCCTCATGGAGACTGTGTGCGCCTCAGACCTGTGCAACCAGCCCAGACTCGGTGAGCAGAGCAGCCCAGGCCATGCAGTCTCTGCCTGGCCTGCACGTGCTGTGTGTGTGTGTGTGTGTGTGTGTGTGTGTGTATGTGTGCAGCCAGCACAGGCTCACAGGGAAGGTAGGAGACCTCTCTGTTTTTCCACTTTGCTTTTTTTTTTTTTTAAGATTTACTTATTTTAATTGCTAAGGCATATTTACAGAGAGAAGGACAGACAGAGAAAGACCGTCCATCTGCTGGTTCACTCCCCAAATGGTCACAACAGCCACAGCTGAGTTAATTCAAAGTCAAGAAGCAGGAACTTCCCTCGAGTCTCCCTCGTGGGTGCAAGTCCCAAGGCTTTGGGCCATTCTTTGTTTTCCCAGACTGGACAGGAAGTAGAACAGCTGGCCATATACTGATGCCCACAAGGGATGCCAATGCTTGTAGGCAAAGGATCAGCCAGTTGAGCCATTGCACCGGGCTCATCTGTTTTCCCATATAAGCCTGCTCCGTGGGCCTGGGCGTGGTCCCAGCAGTGCTGCTGAGGGACCAAGACGGGAGCAGAGACAGAGCAGTCTGGAGGGAAGCTGGAGGAAGGGAGGCAGAGAGAGGAAGTGTCCCCTGAGCAAGCTGGTCCTGGGAGATGTGTGAGGAAACTCCCACAAATCCTTGTGTGGAAAGGGTGGGGTCTCTGATGCTCCCACAGCATGGGAAGGCAGGGCAAGCAGAGCTCTGGCCCTGGTAGGACAGGACGGCGGCCAAGGCCAGCCACCCATCCCTGTAATGTCAAAGCCCCTGTGCCCAGGCCTTTCTCCACCCACCCTGATTCCTCCAAACCTACGTCCATCCTGGCCACAAGCTGTCATCCACTGGTAGGGCTGCGGTGTAGCCAGGAAGTGCAAGGCATCAGCTGCTGACTTCCTCATTGCACTCCACATACTTATTTAACCTGAAAAACAGAGGGAAAGAAAGAGATTTTCCACCTGCTGGTTCACTCCCCAGATAGTCATAACACCATGGGCTCGGGCAAGGCAAAGCCGGGAACCAGAAACCCCACCAGGAGGCCAAGCACTTGAATCATCTTCTGGAATTGTCCCAGGCACATAGCAGGGAGCTGGATCGGACACAGAGCAGCCAGTGCCAACATTGCAACCAGAAGCTTAACCTGATATCCCACGATGCTTGCCCTGTGGTCACAAGTTTAGTTTTTTTTTTTTTTTTAAGATTTATTTATTTTTATTGGAAAGTCAGATACACTGAGAAAAAGATCCTCTGTCTGCTGATTCACTCCCCAAGCAACCACAATGGCTGGAGCTGTGCTGATCCAAAGCCAGGAGTCAGGAGTTGCTTTTGGGTCTCCCACGCGGGTTCAGGGTTCCAAGGCTTTGGGCCACAAGGCAAGGACTTTAGCCGCCAGGGCCTGATCACAAGTTTTCAGTGAGTCCTTCTGATCCTAGAAGAGAAGATAGGAGAAAGGGCAGGAGACTTGGCCAAAGAGGTGGGTGAGACTGTCCAGCTGAAGGAGGACACAGGGACGAATCAGGCAAGGAGAGGGACAGCTGCCGATGGCTCTGCGCAGACAGAGGCAGGCTGAGCGATGGCTGAGCTGTGCAGCTGCAGTCACGCTGGAGACACTTGGATCAGGCCAGTCCTGCTGCGGGTGACGGGACAGAGAAAACAGACAGCTCTCTGTAGTCCCTGGAGAGTCGCAAGCGGAGGGAGGAACTTGGGGTGCTTGAAGGAAGTGGAGAAGGCCTGAGTTCCAGGAACTGCCTGACCGTGGTGGCGTGCGGGTGGGAGGCTGTCGGGGAATGGAGCCCATGCAGGCAGAGTCGCTGGACTCGAGCCAGGGTGGCCAGGGTGTCTGCGTGATGAAAAGTGAAACCCCAGAAAGGATATGGCCCTCAACAGGGCCTCCCCAAATGTGCACAGCTGCCTTATCAGCCTGAAGTTCACACGCTGGGCATGAACCATTGAGTCACAGGACCCCGAGGGCCTCCTGAGAGCAGGAGCTCCCGGGCATACTGACAGGGCCAAGCAAGAAAGGGCTTGGGGACCACCCTCCGGCATTCCTCTGGGACCTCCTTCCAGCAGCAAATGAGTAAACTGCGCTAGCTGAACCCCACAGAAGCCTGAGGTCAAATCCTGGCTAGGAGGAAACCCCAGCCCGCTCCTGAAGATGACAGTCCTTTGGGCCCTTTGCAGCTTTTGCCTGGTGCTGTCTAGCATTGAATCGAAACTTACAAGGTACCCTCGGACCAAGGAACAAAAAGCAAACTCGGCAGGAAAACAGACTCGCAGTGGCTCAGTGCTGACTAGACAGGGAAGTTCGCAGCAGCTAGAACCAGCATGCTTGTGGCCTGGGAAAGCAGTGGAGAACAGTTCAGAGTACTGGGACCCTGTACCCGCATGCGAGACCCAGAAGAGGCTCTTGGCTTCAGATTAGCTCAGCCCCAGCTGTTGCGACCACTTGGGGATTGAACCATCGGACGGAAGATCTTCCACTCTGTCTCTTTTCCTCTCTGTATATCTGTCTTTCCAATCCAAATAAATATTAAAAAAAAAAAAATAGGGGGACTGGAGTGGTGACACAGTGGGTTAAGCCACAGTCTGAAGTGCCAGTACCCCATTTGAGCGCCATTTCGAGTCCTAGTTGCTCCACTCCTGAGCCAGCTCCTTGTTAACACACCTGGCAAGGAAGCAGAAAGTGGGCCAAGTAGTTGGGTTGCTGACATACATGTGGGAGACCAGGACGGAGTTCCTAATCCCTTGGTTTTGTCCTGGCCCGACCCCTAAACATTGTGACCAACTGGGGATTGCATCAATAGATTTAAGAACTCTGTCCTCCATCTCCTTCTGAACTGTGCCTTTCAAATATATAAGTCTTTGCAAATATATATATATAAGTAGAGGAAAAGATATATTTTAGCACCTGGAATTCATGTTTGAAAGAATCAGATAGGAAATCTAGAACAATAACGAAATGCAGAGCTCAGCAGCTGTGCTCCATAGAGTCTAAACAGAACAGCAAGAACAGGTCTATGTGTGATGGGAGCTTGGTCTACCAGCTGCATCCACGGCACACCACTCAGCACGCGCCTGATCTCGGAAGCTAAGCAGGGTCGGGCCTGGTTAGTACTTGGATGGGAGATCTGCGAGCTAGGATGCTGGTTGAGGTGCTCCACCCCTACCGCCTGCCTCCACCTTCCTTCCAACAGGCAGCAGGGCTGGGTCAAATGGTTTGATTCCTGCCACCTGCGTGGAAGACCTGGCTGGAATTTCATGCTCCTCTCCTGCCTGCCATGGGCATGTGTGGGCAGACAAGCTGACAGGGATTCTCTCTCTCAAGGAACTATTTTTTTTTTTTTTTTGAAAGATGTACTACCTAGAGAACGGAACAGTAGATGGCTGCTCAGAAGCCGAGGGTGAGGGGATTGGGCTGTCCCTGCCCTGAGGATCTGGGTTGTTGCGATGCTGAGATGAGGCATCCTGCAGAAGGACCGAGCCGAGGGAGAAGTCAGAGCTTCGGTTCCTGCAGGTGGAAGCTCGGGGGGTTGAGTGGCAGCCAGGCACATTGGTGAAGAAGCTAGATTGCAGGTCAGGAGCTCGAGGGAAATCTGGCTGGGAGAGATGGGTGAGCAGCCGCCAGCCGAGCAGACCAGAAGCCGTGTCGGGAGACAGCACCCCGGGCTAGACACAGGGGACCCCCTGCCTCCCGAAGAGGCCCGAGACCCTGGCGGCAAGCCTTGCCACAGCTCTTTGGCACTGACGGCAAGGCACGGGCCTGGGAGCTGTGTTTCTTTGAAGGAGATGATTTGGCCGGGAAGGGAGGTGATTCACCTAATTGCACTTGCCTGCCAGCTGGATGCGTTGGCCCAGGCAGTCCTAGCGCTTCCTAAGGCTTGGCCGGGACTCAGGCCGGATATCTGGGGTCAGGCAGGGATGGTTAGGCCCCAGTGTGCGCCAAGGCCTGGGCCAAGGAATGATGTCGTGTTTCCAAGGAAAAGACACTGATCCAGTTGGAAGCTTCCCACTGAAGTGAAAGTGGATCGCTGAGCGAGACTCCGCAATGCCCCAAGACAGCGTGTAAGGGGACCACAAATGCTCATTCTAGAAAAACTGCACATGGTTCCCAAGCACTTTTTAAAAAAAAGACTTATTTATTTGAAAGACACACAAAGAACGAGAAACTTCTATCCGCTGGTTTGCTTCCCAAGTGGCCACAACAGCTCAGACCAGGCCAGGTGAAGCCAGGAAGCTGAAACCCTCCAGGTCTCTCACGCACCAGCAGGGGCTCAAGCACATGAGCTATCTTCTGCTGCTCTCCCAGGCATATTAGCCGGGAACTGGATCAGAAGTGGGGCAGCCAGGACCCATGTGGGATGCCAGCATTGCACATGGCAGCGTTTCCCTGCTATGCCACAGCACTGGCTGCTCAGCCGGGTTCCTGTGGTTCAGAATCTGTCAGGAGAATACAGTCGGGACCACAGCGGGCGCTCCCCACGTGGCTTCGCGTCTGGAAGCTTTTCAACGGCTTCAGCCAAGACCTCCTCTGCTAGCTACAGGGGCCTGTCCATGGTGCTGCCGGAGACTGTGTCCGTGCAACGTGGCAGCTGCCCTCCACCCCGGCAAGCTGGCGGAGAGTCAGCCAGGCAGAAGTCGCTGTGTCTTCGCTTGCCTTCAGTATGCTGTCGGTCAGAGAGAGACAGACTAGACAACTCTCAACTGCTGGTTCATCCCCTCAGTGCCCACCACAGCCATGGCAGCGGTAAAGCGGGGGAACTGAGAACCGGAAACGCATCAGTCCCCCACCTGGGTACCAGGGACTCAGCTGCTTGGGGCGCCCCCTGCTGGCTGCCAGCGAGCACGCAGATGACCCAGAGGCTGGATGGGGAGCAGAGCCAGGACTGGAACCCGAGCTCTGAGCTTGAGGTGGATCTCCAATCGCCTGCCTCAAGGCAAGGTCAACTCCAGCGTTCACTGCCAAGGGCCTAAATTCCAAAGTCAGGCTCTTTGGGAGTCATGTTGGAGACTGTTGCCACCCCTAGGCAGGTTGGGGTGGAGACACGAGTGGTGATCAAAGCAGCTTGCGTGGAGGAGACCCAGGGAGCCCGTGGACGGGGCAGCAGGGAGAGCCAGGCCCAGCCATAGACACGTCTTGAGTGCTGCCTTGAGGATCTGGACTTTTATTCTGAGGACAGCAGGGAGCCACGGCAGTGTCTGGAGCAGGGAGAGGCAGGGTCAGTGACGAGAGCTAGCACCATCCTTCTGGGGCCATCTGGATTCCAGAAAGATCCAGGAGGCAGAAGGGGCGGGGCTTGGGTGGGTTGAAGGGAAGGATGAGGAGGGGGAGTCGGAGCCCCCTTCCTTATGGAGCTTCCCCCACCCCGCCAAACAGACCCCGTGGCCACGTTCCCCAGGGGTCGGTACCTGGAATGCATCTCCTGCGCCTCGTCAGACCTGAGCTGCGAGAGGAGCAGGCAACAGAGCCTGCAGTGCCGCCGTCCTGAGGAGCAGTGCCTACAGGTGGTGAGCTACCACAGCCTGGAAAGTGAGTCCCGGCCCCCCACCCTGGGGACCCAGATCACAGGGGATTGCCAGTCCAGGGCCTTTAGGACAGTCCCAGAGTAAGCAGGGACCTAGAGGCCTTCTCATGTCATCCATTCTCAAAGCTGCCTTGGTGTCCAAAATGGCTGCCAGCGCTCCAGCCTTCATGGTCACGTTCCAAGAATCCCATTTAAATAGTTCCTGTTGTATCACATGACCAGAATTTCATCCTGTGACTAGGGAGGCTGGGAAATGTAGTCTCCTAAAGAAAGTGAGGATCCTGCAAGGAGGACAGAGGCAAAAGGAATAGCTGCTCTGTGGGCAAATCGAGCTACAGCCCTTTACCTGTGATGTGACCTCTGACCTCTGCTCTTTGCTCCCCAGGTAGCCTAAGGGATGAGCACCACACCTACGGCTGCGGCCAGCTTCCCGGCTGCCCAGGCCCCACGGGCTTCCACAACAACCATACTTTCCACTTCCTGAGGTGCTGCAACACCTCCTATTGCAACAGAGGCCCTGGTAAGGGGGGGGGACTGGGGTGAGCCTGGGGGGAGGGCGGGGGGGACCCCTGCAGGTCCCCCCACAGTCACGCGTGGGCCACGCACCCTCTCCCTACTGACTTTCTTGGAGAAGGACATTGTGGGAACTCAGACCGGCCCCATCTGCCTGCTCCCCGGCCCCTGAAGCTCCTCCCACTGCCAGCGTCACCACAGTCGCCATCCCGGGCTCAGCCTTGGCGACTTCCTGCCCGCCTCACTGCAGAATCCTCCTCTCCACTCTCCCTGCTTCGGCTCCTGCCAGCCCAAGGCTCGGGGCTTCTCCATGTTTTCCAGACTGTCACTCGGTATCACTGTGTTTCCCGCAGCGCTTCTGCTCCATCCCCTTGGAGTAAGATCCAGAGGGGCCACTGATGGCTGCTGCTCAAAACCCCCACATCCCGTATGGTCCCCGCTTCCTGTCCCGGCTGCTCCACTTCCGAAACAGCTCTCTGACCATGGCCTGGGAAAGCAGCGGAGGATGGCCCAAGGCTTTGGGCCCCTGGACCCACGTGGGAGTCCCGGGTGGTGCTCTGGGCTCCTGCCTTTGGCCTGGCCTAGCCTTGACTGCTGCAGCCATTTGCGGAGAGAACCAGTGGATGGAAGATCTCCCTCCCTCTTCCTTCCTCCCTCTCTGATGCTCTGACTTGTAAATAATTTAAAAAGAAGAAGGCGAAGAAAAACCAGAGGCCCCACTGTAGCCAAAGGCATTCCACATCTGTGCACCTCATGGTTTTCATTTAATTTCTTTGACTGCCAAACTCCACCTTGCCTGTGGCTTTTGAAATCCGTGCATAGCGTCTTCTTACAGTGTGCATTTTCACGCACTTTCCATTTTTCTTAATTTTTTAAAAGTTTACTTAGACGCAGAAGACGGCCGGAGCTCCTCTCGGCTGGTTTGCCTCCCCACGTGCTGCCCGTGGCGGGCCGAGAGGGCAGGAGCCCTGAGCCTGGTGGCTGACTTCTCGGCCTCGGCCTCTGTGCTCTCCACAGCCCTGGACCATCACCACCTGCCACCCAACGGCCTCCGGTGCTACAGCTGCGAGGGCAACAGCACCCACGGGTGTTCCGCGGAGGAGACATCCCTCACCGACTGCAGGGGGCCCATGGATCGGTGTGTGGAAGCCACGGGCACTAACGGTGAGGCCCTGGGGGAGGCTGGGAGAGGCTGGAACCTTCGGACACCTGCTGGGGAAATGTGGGCCTCTGTGGGGCGGGACTCCTGTGGGCACCTAAACTCCTGACATCCTAGCAAGGTCTCTCCGCAGTGCGATCTATTTATCTGAATGATCTTTCATCTGTCGGTTCACTCCCCAAAGGACCACAAAGGCCGGAGGTGGGCCAGTCTAAAGCCAGGTGCCAGGAGCTTCTTTCGGATCTCCCACATGGGTGCAGGGTCCCAAGGCTTTGGGCCATCCCCTATTGCCTTCCCAGGCCATAAACAGGGAGCTGGATGGGAAGTGGAGCTGCCGGGACTAGAACCGGTGCCCATATGGGATCCTGGCATGTGCAAGGGGAGGACCTTAGCCACTAGGCTATCACATCAGGCCCCAGGCCACCTTCTTCACTTGATCTTAGCCAAAAAGCCGAGAAGCGATGCCCAGGCCACTATCTTAAGACTTTTTCAGGCTCTTAGTGGACTGCACTAAAAATCAAACCTGAGAAACGGTAGAGGTTTGTTTATTGATTCATTAGTACAATTCAAGTTTTCATTATATATGGGAACATAAGTCACATTTTTCTTCTATGAAAAATGTCTGTGTTTTCCCAAACAAAAGAACTGCGGCGAGAAGCCAGGCACTGGTGTGTGTATGTGTGTCGCACATGGCTTTCGTGTCTGGCTAGAGAGAAGCCAGCTGGAGCCTCACATATGCTCCACGTTCAGTCTGTGGCAATAGCCTGTGTCTCGGAGTTTCTGGAAAGCTCCAGAAAGTGGAAAAGCCAAAGCATGTCTCAGCATCCTTAGAAAACTAATGTTGGCTTTGCAGGTTACCCCCGCATGGGTCTCAGGAACCTCCACCCCGACCGGGGGGTTCTTGGGCCACACTGTGGGAACGCTGGTGTCCCCAGAAGGAGAGACGTCCTTCCCATCTGAGAATTCCAGACTCTGAGAGGCTTATTCCATGCTTCTGTCTCTTCAGGGCTGGGGAACCTGAGTTACACGATCCGAGGCTGTGCCACCGTCTCCTGGTGCCACCAGCTGCACGTGGCTGAGGCTTTTGGCCTGAGCCATGTCAACCTTACTACGTGCTGCACTGGCAGTGGCTGCAACAACGCAGCCTCAGATGCCCAGCCCCGCTCGGCGCTGGCGCCCCGGTCGGGCCCTGCTCACCTCAGCCTCCTGGTCACCTCAGCGCTCCTGACCTCCACCCTAGGGGGGATTACTCTCTTTTGGAACTGAGCCGCAGCCCCACCTCCACCCCGGGCAGGCCCCGGGGCACCACCTTGTCCTGCCACGCCTAGCCCGGTTGACCTCCAGGTGCTGTGACCCCAGGCCCGTGTGCCAACCTCTCCGGGCCTGTGAGTTCCCAGCTGCCTACTGTGTATCTGCCAGGGATGCCCTGACATCTGGCCAAGGGCTGGTTCTTTGTCCTGACAATTGTTAGGGTGGCTCTGGCTGTTTTTATTAATATTTGTGTTATTTATTTTCTACAGAAATAAAGTTTTTGTACCCTATCTGCCCTTCTCTGTTGCATCTAGATTTGGGGACAGGGCTGGGGCACAGGTGCCAGTCTGGTTGGCAGCTCCAGGCATGGCATGCCCATGGAGGGCCCCGCTGAACTGCCTTGTTGGTGTCGGAGGATGTTGGCCTGCCCTAGGCTGCTGTATCCACGACAGGAACTCCAGAGGCACTGCAGAGAGACCAGTGGCAGGGGACAGAGATTGAAGCCATGGGACCAAGGGAGACCAAGAGACCAAGAGACAGGATGAAGAAATGGGGGAGGAATAACCCCATCTCCCACGGTGTCCTACAGCCCAAACATGCCAGACAATCACGAGGCCTTTGTGGGAAAAAACATATTACGAAAGAGCATACAAAGATTTTTTAAAAAAGATTTGTTTTTATTGGAAAGGCAGATTTACAGAGAGAAGGAGATACAGAGAAAGATCTTCTATCCACTGGTTCACTACCCAAATGGCAACAATGGCCGAGGTGGGCCAATCCAAAGCCAGGAGCCAGGAGCTTCTTCCAGGTCTCCCACGAGGGTGCAGGGTCCCAAGGCTTTGGGCCGTCCTCCACTGCTTTCCCAGGCCACAAGCAGGGAGCTGGATGGGAAGTGGAGCCACTGGGATTAGAACCGATGCCCATATGGGATCCCAGAGCTTGCAGGTAAAGGATTAGCTAGTCATTTCACTCACTGCACTTGCACTGTCCTGCGAGGATTTTAAGTATACAAGGATTTTATAAAAGTCTGCCGCACAATGAACTTCAGAGTTTCAATTCCGTGTTTCCCCACAAAATGCTTGGAGTGTCTCTCGTGCGGTGTCCTTCTGTTAGAACAACACCATCTGAAGAATCCACACCATCAAAACCCAGGTTAACATGACCTTCCCCACAGTTCCCTACAACACCGCGCTGTGGACACCTCTCCCACGATGCCTTGCAGCAGAGCTGAAGCTAGAACTGCATCTCCCAGGAGGCCCTGGGGCAGAGCCTGGGGGTCAGGAAGACATTCCCCATGATGCCTCACCATGGGGGGGCAGGAGGTGGCACCAGATAATTTCTCATCATGTCCTGTACCACAGCTCACGATCGGGGCCTGATAGCTCCGGCGATTTTGCTCGGAGATCTTGGGTTGTGAGAATAAAATCTGTTCCCGCTGACTTCAGCAAAACCAGTGTTATTGGAAGTTTAAAATCCAAGCGAGAGTGAGGTCTCCGGGCCTCATGGGGGAACAGGAAATAGAATTGAAGGGCTGAGCTGTGTGGAAAATCGACTGTCTTCCCCCTTGCGGAACCTCAATCGCTGCCTCTCCCTTTCTGATTTCTCTGTGTGTGTGTGTGTGTGTGTGTGTGTGTGTGTGTGTGTGTGTTCATAGGGGGGTCCCCTCCATTGCCCTGTTTCTCAGGCTGGCTTTTTCTACTTCACACAGAGTGGGCGTAAGCGTCCTTTAAGATGCACAGTTCCGGCTTGGCGAGGGCTGGTTTTCTGTGCCTCTCACAAGATCCCCCAGGCTACAAGCGTACTTTACACACTTAAGAAGTTTCAGTAGCTCCAGGGGCTTAGGCGTGGGAGCATGACCCCGCCCCTGCCTTGGTGTGGGCCTCTGGGCAGGTGGCATTGAATGCCAGGAACGCGTGCAAAAGGTCACACTGTGAGACAGGAAACAAGAGACTAGGAAGAGCCAGCGTGGCTTCTTTGACCTTTTTCTAATAAGATTTATTCATCTGAAAGCCAGAATTACAGAGAAAAAGAGAGAGTGTGTGAAAGGTCTTCCATTTGTTGGTTCACTCCCCAGATGGCCACAGCACAACAGTGAGGGCAGGGAGAGCCCACGTGGGCAGCAGCGGACCGTCTCTCACTGCCTTCCCAGCAGCATTTGAGGGAATCACAGGTGCAGCAGCCAGTATCTGAACCGTCAGTCCACATGGGATGCCAGCACTGCAGGTTGCGGCTTAGCCTGCTGCTCCACAATGCTAGCCCCAGTCACTCCTCTTGTTAACACCGTCCCTCCCCCCTTGGTTACGGTTGGAACTCGTTTCTACGAGACCCCACCCACCCTCTGAGACCAACACTAGTCCTTCCAAGGGCGGGGGCCCACAGTGACCTGAATACCTCAGTAACAGCTTTCTCCGCCTCAAGGCCCACACCCAGCAAATGAAGCTTCCTATAGCCTCTGCAGGAACAACCTGATCCACACTGCCACACGTGCCGAACCGCACGCGCATTGCAATTCTAGAATCTCATCCCAGAGACGCTGACCGGGTCTGGTTTGGGCTGGGGTCTGTCCACAGCCCTTCCTTCCTGCAAAGGCCAGGGAAATGCACTTCAAAACCTCAGTGGAAAGAACGTTTAGGGGCCAGCCCTGAGACGCAGCTGGTGACACCAGCACCTCTGACACCAGCATCCCAACTGGTCGGAGAATAATCCGGCTTCCTGGGAATGCAGCAGCAGAGCGCCCGAGTGCTTGGGCCCCTGCACCCACGTAGGAGCGCCTGATTCCTGACTTTGGCCTAGCCCAACCCTGACCATTGTAGCCACTGGAAAATGAACCAGTAGATGGAAGACCTCTCTCTCTGTAACTCTGCCTTTCAAATACTAAATAAAATCTTAAAACACACAATGCAAGCTGTCCCTTACCACACCTCACTGCAAACAGAGCTGCCTCCTTGAGCTCAGAGTGAATCCGGTGCCATACAATGGACAAAGCCGCTTTTAACAAGACATCCAACTCCCAAGAGCTGAAACAAAGGCAAACTCGTTAGCCCAATAAGTAGAGTTGTGAGCTAGTTCTTGGGTTGGTTCATACGAGGGTTCTACCACGTACAGGATCCATTCGGTCCTGCCCACCTCACAGCCTCAGGGTGGCGTCCTCCACTCCTGACATCACACCCAGCACTCACTCCCAAAGCTCCCATCGCATCATCGGGCCAGGAAGGAAGGTTGGATAGCCACATCCAAGAAGTCTCTGCTCGGAAGGCAGCAAAGCACACGCCAAGCCTGCACAAACTCACACACGGCCCACTCATGCCTGGGACCCACCCGAGCCCTTGGGTGGGCCTGCCTCTGCTTCCTCCCAAGGATCCCAGCGGTCCTCAACTTAACCCACAGCCCCACCACACTCACCCCTCTTTTCTCGAGTTGGATTTGCTGTCACCTGTAACTAGAAGTGCGATGGACAGAGGCCTTGGCAATAAAGGGCAGGGATGGGATCACCATTATCATGGTGCCCGCAGATGGAAGTAACAGCAGAACCCGCAGATAACAGATGAGAAGCAAGCCCACACCTCCCAGGGCGGCCCGACGCAGGGAGGCCTGTGCACACCTGGTCCTGAGCAAGGATGCTGGACCTCGCAGCTATGGACTGCCCATGGTCTGAAGGCTCAGCACCTCTCGCCCTGCCAGCCCAGGCCAGCCAGCCGGGCAGAGCTCAGCCACCTCTTCCTGGTCACGGCAAACCGGGAACTGAGAGCTGAGAAGGAAAGAAGCTGTTCAAGTTCTGGTCCTGGGGACCGAGGAGCCGCCAGGAGCTTTAACAGGATGTCGGCAGATGAAGTCCCTTGCGGAGCCCGGATGGAGAGTTTATCTTTTTTTTTAGGGGTGATGGAGATAAAACGAATACGGACTTTCATCACGGGCATCTCTGGGCCTCGGTTTACCTGATTGTGGAGGTCTCCTACTTTGCCCAGTCCTCCTGGGTCCCCCAGGTTGGTAAGGTGCACCAGGTCCATGGCAGCCAATGGCGAGGGCTCGGGGCAGTGCCCTCGCAGGAGGGGGGAAACGACCAGCCCTGTGGACTGGGAAGGAGAGACGAGACCACCACCGAGAGGCCAGACGCTCCTGGGAGGCCCCAGGGGCTGTGGGCTCCTCTGCAGCTGGTTCACTGCCCCGAGAAGGAGGCGGCCACACTGGGTTTCCCAGGCAGGACTAGACAGGGAGGGAACCGACCCCAAGAAGGGCCCCAGTCCAGGCCCCCCGTCTGGCCCTGACACCTTCACACGCACCCGTGCCCAGAACGCCTCTCACGCTCACTGCGCCTCCCGCCCCCACAGTCCCTTCCCCAGGGCTCACAGCCGTCACGCACAGCTCGCACCCCGCACCCAGCCCGCAGCAACACCCTCACACGCACCCCCTTTTCGCACCGCACACTCCAACGCCTCCGCACGGCGCTCTCACCTCCCCACCGCCACCGCCCCCCGGCGACACCTGCCCTGGGCGCGCACCCCGCGCTCCCCTCGCCCCCCACCCCCATTGTCTCGGGGCTGCTCCCCCGCCGCCCCCTCCCCAGCCTGGCCCCGCCCCGGCCTCGGCGCCCCGCCTCCGGGCGGGCAGGGGGCGGGGATCGGGGGCGGGACCGGCGGCGCGGGCGGTGCAGGTGCCGGGCCGGGAGCGAGCGGCGGCGGCGGCGGCGGCGGTGGCGGCACCACCATGGGCCGGGCCCGGCGCTTCCAGTGGCCGCTGCTGCTGCTGTGGGCGGCCGCGGCGGGGCCAGGTAGGGTCGGGGGCCGGGCTCGGCCGGTCGGGGTTCGGGCTCGGGGGGCGCGCCGCGATGACAGCCGAGCCACGGCGCGGGGCCGCAGAGGCCGAACAATGCGCGCGCGGGGCCGGGCTGGGCCCCCCTCCCCGGGACAAAAGCGCAGCGCGGGGCCGGCAGCTGGGAACCGCGAGCTGGGGGAGGGGGCGCGGGCCCGGGCCGTCGTGCCGCAGCCCCCCCTCCCTCCTCACCCGCAGGCCCGGATCCCGCCGGGGACAAAGGGCTCGAGACCCTCTCCTCCTTCCCTGTGCCCGCAACCAGCCCGCCTTCTCCCGGCCGGACCCACCGTCCTCCCCGGTGTCTGGATCCCTCTGTCGCCTCCCTGTCCCCCTACCCTTGTCCTCTGCGCCCGTCTCCAAGTCCCGTCCCTCCTGTCTGTCCGCCTGCTTCCTTGTCTGCTTCCTTGCCTCTAGCCTCTCTTTGTGACCCACCTCTGTCCTCCGGCCTCTGCCTTTTTCCTGGGTCACTCTGTCCCCTCTCCCTTCTCTCCATTTACCCTTCTCTGTCCCCTGCATTTCTGCCCTCCTCTCCCTCTCATTGTCACCTCTGTCTCTAGCCTGCCCCACCACCCATCTCCCTCTGTCCCAAGTCTCGCTGTGCCCTCTCTCTCTGCCCCTACAACCTTCACCCTGGGATCCTGCATGTCCTCTCTGCCTGTGCCCCTGAGCCAGGCGGGGCGATGTGGCGAGCCCTGGGGAGGGGGAGAGATGTCCCTGTGTGTGCGGTTGAGGAAGGGTGGGGGGGGGCTGGGGAGCCCTGACATGTGGGCACCCACGTGGGCTTAGCAGATGCATCCCCAAACCCTCACCACGGGTTCACACGCCCAGGCCAGGAGTCAGGGAACTGCTCCCCTGCAGGACACGCAGCCCCCGATGGTCACACACTGGGAGAAGCTGGAGACCACCCTGCAAGGTGGGGTGACCCTGAGGCTGGGGACAAGGTCAGGAAATGTCACCCATACCGTGTGTGTGTGTGTGTGTGTGTGTTTGTGTGTGTGTGTGTGTGTGTGTGTGCCATGGGTCGTCCCCTTGCTGAGGGGTCAAGCTGCTGATAGGAGGAGCGGATGACTGGGGAGGTCGCTGGGCAGAATGAGGAATGCAGGGACTCAGTGGGGGTGTGGGAGGGCAGAGGTGGCCAGGTGACCCCAGGCTGGGCAGGAGCACGGGGGTCAGGGAGCTGGATTTCCATTCTGGCCCAGCAGGCCAGAGCAGACACCCCCCTGTTCCGGGTTCAGTTTTCTCTTTGTAAAGTGAGGATGTTGAACTTGGTGACCCCAAAGGGAAGACTGGCTGGGGCTGCACCCAGTGTGTAGCATACCCAGTATGGTGGCTTCTCCCCCACCCTTAGGGTCAGGGCCTCCCGCCCACGGGCAGGGTCAAGATGGAGGGGGTGGCTAAGCTTCGCTCACACTGCCTGCCCCCTGCTCCTCTTTCTACAGCCTTCTGGGGGCCTGGGGGTGAGGGAGACTCAGAACTTTCCGTGTTGCCTCTGTTCTTGGCTTGTAGACCCGCAGTGATGATCTCCTGGGCACCTTAGCTGTGGGTCACATCTTTCCTTTTTCTCCTTAAAACAGGTTCCTAGCTTGCAATAATCCCCGCAAGCAGAGCACCTGAGGGTTTTTTTAGACCTTCTGCGTCACTGGGATTCTAGAATCCTGAAGTCTTTAGCATCCTGACATCTTGCTGCATCTAGGACCTGGATGCTCTTAGCATCCTAGCAGCCCAGCGACTTTCACACCCCCTGAAATCCGGGTCTCTTGGCATCCCCAGATCCTGACATTGTTACCGTGTAATCTTTACAGCTTGGAGCCAGGGACACTCTGAACCTAGCGTAGGGGGACGGCTCACCCCTGGGCTCTTGGGGCACACAGCTCTCTGGCCTGGTCCCTCCTCACCTCCTGACATCTTAATCCTCTCAGCAAACTTTCTCTAAATTGAATGGCGTGGGTGTTGTGAGGAAGCGAGGCTTGCAGCAAGCAGAGGGGCGCAGAGGAGCTGGGCCCGGCCTTGGTTGGCCCTCTCCCGTGGCCCAGGCCTACCCGGCCTCTCCATGGGGCTCTCTGCAGAGCTGAGTGGGTGATGAGAGCTTCTTCACTGGCTACTTCTGAACGGCCTTGATCTCCATGGTTGCAGGGCCAAGCCTGCTCCCGTTTCCTCTGTTGACTTCTCAGTTGGCCGGCCAGCAGGAACAAGGATGGGAGACAGGGGTCCGTGGTACTCAATAATGTTCTCCCTTCCCCAGCCAGGAGCCCTGGGGGTCCCAGCAGAGGGTGTTGGGATCTAAGCTGGCCGAGGGGCTGAGGTGGGCCAGGATAGGAGCCTAGAGTGCCTAGAGAGCCACATGGAGCACAAGCAGAGAGCCACAGGCTAGACCCTGAGCGGAACGGGACAGGCAATAGACAGACACACAGATGCAAAGATGGAAGGACATGGGGAAGACAGGGCGGGGGGATATGGGGGCTGGTCATGATGGTGGGTGGGTTTTTCATTGAGATAAAGTCCCCGCCTCGTTCCATGACTCATTCCCACCCCCATGGAAGTTCTGAGCATTCGTGCTGCAAACATTTGGGGGGCGGGGGGCCCATCCTTAGCCACCCCCAAGACTGGGTCTTAGAAGTATCTGTTGCTGATCCGTATCCACCCAGAGCCGGGGGTGGGGGTCAGGTTCTGCAACGGATTCCAAGACCTCAGCCGTGGCAAGGCTGGGCCGAGGGGTGGGTTAAAGTCGTGTGAGCCTGGCCTGTCCCCGTGTTGGGGGACACAAAGGCAGCTTTCTCCTTCTGGGAAGGGGAGAGCTGGAGACAGACCCGCCAGCAGCCAAGGGCCTGTGGCACCAGGACCCAAGCACCCGCTGTTCACTGCTGGCCAACCGGCCGCACACACACACACCCCAGGCCCTGGCACCAGAACCCAGTGGGGGCAAGGGAGCAGGTCCAGTGCCAGACCCCCACCCCTGGGCAGGGCGTGACTGGAGGGCAGCAGGGATGGGGTACGGGGTAGACCATGGGGGTTCAATGACAGGGCCTAGGAATGAGGCCCCCAGCCTGCATTCAGGGACCGCCTCCTGGGGCGCCCCACCCCCTGGCTGGGCCTGAGATCAGGCATTCCGGGAGTCCCGAATATCCCAGGAATGTGGGGGCCACAGGGACGACTTTGTGTGTGAAGCTGCTGACTCACCCCCACGCCCCCACGACCTGCTGCCTGGGCCCCCCAGCTGGGAGGGTGGCCGAGGGCCTAGTGAGGCTGGACCACGGTTTTGAGGGCCATAGACCTAGGTTAGAAGTTTCCAGTAGGGATGGGGCCGGAGCCTGGACCTCTGGGTGTGAGAGAGGAAGGGCGGGGGCTGGACCCCTGGACCTGAGGGAGAGAGAAGGGGCTGGGACTGGATCCCTGGGCCTGAGAGAGGAGGGGCTGGACCTCTGGGTGCGAGGGAGGAGGCGCTGGGGCTGGACCCCTGAGCCTGCGGGAGGGAGGAGGGGACGAGCCCCTGACTGGGAAGGAGGGAGACTGGGAGTCTTCACTCCCAGGTCCTGAGGAAGGGGTTGGGGTCCTGAGGGAAGAAGGGACTGGGGAGGTTGATGTTGTCCAACTCCAGGTTTCCCAGAGGGGGCTGGGACCCTGCCGCCTAGGTCCAGCGAATACAGGCGCCTTCACAAGGCTGAGCTGGGGAAGAATCGAATCTTTGTGCAAGGATGTTCGGACTCCGCCATTGATGGGGGGCTGCGGGGGGGTTTCGGTCAAGATGCAGGGATGTACCACCTCCCAGGGGAGGAGGGGGGAACAGAGGCAAGATGCCAGGAGCCCCCCTGGGGACCCAGCCCAGAGGGGTGGCTGTGACCTTCCTGCAGCATGACCTTGAGACTCCCTTGGGTATTCGCTGACTCAGGACCCAGGCAGTGCTCCCCCCCAGCCCACTTAATCACTGTGGAAACATCCACCAGCTGTGTGCTCCGGACCCCCAGCCCCCTAGCTCCCGGTTCCTCCGTGGCTCAGTTGGGGGGGGGGGGGACAGGAAGAGAAGGCTGGGAGGGCTCAGCTCAGATTCCTAGGTTTGCAGGAAGAGGAGGATGCTGAGCAGGCAGACTCCTGTAGCCCGCTGGAGGAAGGGGACTGGCGGGGGCAGGGGGACAGGGGTCTGGGGTCCTGAAGCAGGAGTGGCTGGGAGCGGGGAAGGGATTCCTGGGTCTGTGGACTCCTTGAGGAGCCTCACATCACCTGCCCACCCACTCTCTCCCAGACCCTACCCTGTCCCCTTCTCGGGGCACCATCCCCATGACGACTCCCAGCTGTCAACACAGTTTAAAGGGCCAGTGCCCCAGTCCCCAGAGCTCAACCCCTCTCGGACCAGAAAGTCCCGCCCCCACCACCCCCAAACTCCCGAAACAAAAGCTCCCAAGGCATTGATATTCTAGGCACAGGCACTGTTGGTTACTGACTCCTCCGGAGGGGGAGGGAGAGAGACAAAAGGCCCCCCTCACCCCATGTGCACCCTCCGGCAGACAGCAGGAGATACATTTATGGGGGACGGACCCAGATGGTTCCTGGGAGTCCATGACATCTGCCCATGACTTCCCTGGGACACCTTGCCTCCAACGCTCCCGCCAGACCTCATTCTCCACATGTGTGAGATGGGGGATGCGGGCAGGGGCTAGCATCGCGCTGGCCCTGAGATAGGAGGGGGTCGGCGGACTTGGAGACATTTTGCAAAGAGCCAGAACGTGCAGGGTGGTTCCCCATGTCTGTGTGCTTGTGTGCCTGGGATTTGTCCCAATCCAAAGCCTTGCCCGCGGGGCTCCCTGCTTGGCAGGCTCTGGGCTGCCCCTGCTGAGGCTGGCATTGGCATCACCTCCATTTTATGGATGGAGCAGTTGAGGCTCGAGAGGGCGAGGACACTGCCCCCCCAAATCCACAGAGGACAGCAAGGGGTGATCACGGCTGGGTTACCAATCCAGATGTTTATAGTAAGACAGATGCTGGCCCAAAGGCATTGTGGGCCTGCCACGGGATCCTGGCTGCCATGTATGAGGCTTCCAGCAAGTTGCCCAGGCACCAGCCCAGGCCTGGGCCCAAGCCAGGCACCAGGGCTGCTGGAGCAAACTCAGGGGGTGATCCCAGGCCTTTTGGAGAGCCCTTTGTCATAGTGAGGGGGTGCAGACGACCGACCAGGATGTATAGCAGTCAGTGACCCCAAGGAGCTCAGTGACCCCAAGGGGAAATTAAGCCATGGTGAAGAATTAGAAAGTGGTTGGGCTGGGGAGACATGAGACACCTCTGAGGAAGTGTCTCTGTCCATGAAGAAGTTGGGGCACAGGCCTGGGATGCCAGGTGTGGAGCAGGTGGAAGAAATAAGCTTGGGCTGTGTCACTAGGAGCTGTGGTGACCTCCCTCTGTGGGACCATGCTCAGAACCAAGGCTGGGCAGGGGCCAGGCCTCAGCCTGGGTGAGCGGCCCTTGGCTGCTCCGTGTCATCAACAGCTCTTGGCAGGGTCAGCAGTTAAGAGAAGTGGCTTGATTCAATTTGCCTTTTTTTTTTTTTTAAATAAAACAACCACAACATGTGGAGGAGGCCTCATAGGAGGCAGGCATGGAGCAGGGAGACCCATGAGGACTCTGAAGGGTGTCCGGGGACAGATGGGATGAGGCAGGCGGCCACAGGGGAGTGGACATGGGGTATAGTGAGCAGCACCTGCTGATGGAATGGATGATAGATGGAGCGGAAGGAGAGAGAAAACTTGGACGATGTCTCAAGTTTTGACGTGGTCAGCAGGTAGTTGTGACTTTTTTTTTTTTTTTTTACTTGAAACGCAGAGACACATGGAGAGATCTTTTCTTCATTGCTTTGTCCCTCAAATGCCCACAGCAGCTGGGGCCAAGGCCAATCTGGGTCGCCCATGGAAGCATCACCCAGCCTCTCGGGGTGCACCTTAGCAGGAAGCTGGGATCCGGAGCAGATCCGAGCATCCCGAGAGGGTGTCTTAACAGGCATGCCAGACCTCCACCGCTGACGTGTGTGGAGCCTGAGAAAACGTAGGAGAGAGCGTGTTTGAGGCAGGGGTTGGCTCCGTGGTGGATGGTATTCCAAGATGTGCAAGAGCCACCTCAGATAGTTCATGGAAGGTGCACATTATGGGGGAAAAAAAAGCTGTGAGTATAAATTTCAATTGTTTGTGCCAGAATAAACACATTTTATCTAGATATCTTGTTTTTAGCTGAAAAGGCAGATTTGGGCCTGGTGCGATAGCGTAGTAGCTAAACGTCCTTGCCTTGCATGCAACAGCATCCCATATGGGTGCCAATTCTAATCCCGGCGGCCCCGATTCCCATTCAGCTCCCTGCTTGTGGCCTGGGAAAGCAGTAGAGGACGGCCCAAAGACTTGGGACCCTGCACCTGCGTGGGAGACCTGGAAGAGCTCCTGGCTCCTGGCTTCAGATTGGCTCAGCTTTGGCCATTGCGGCCGCTGAAAGGGAAGTGGAACAGAGCTGGGGCACTAACTGGCACCCATATGGGACCCTGGTGCATGTAAGGCAAGGATTTAGGCACTGGGCCATCATGCCATGCGTGTCTCTAGTGTTTTTGAAGTGCACTTGCATATTTGTGTATATCACTTCTCGGCCTTTTGGCTAAAATCAAGTGTAGCAGACTTAAGGGCACGGCAGGGCGAGAGAGCTAGGGCTCCTGTAAGCAGCCACCGTCTGCATTAGCGACCCAAGCACCTTCCAGCTCTTTCTCTCATCGTGTCCTCCTGATCCAAGGTGGCTGCTGGAGCCTCACACATCACATTGTCGTTCCAGGTTGTGTTAAGTTCACCTGGTAGAAGAGCGAGCCATCTCCTTTCTTTGGGAAATTCTGCCCGCCCCCTCCGCGTGACGTCATGGCAGTTTTGCTTTTGCTCCACTAGACAAAGCTGTAAAGATTGGGATAGGAGGTTGGCAGTTCCCCTAGAATTAATGGGGTCCCCCCGCTTAGCCTCTGTGGTTGGAAACCGTCCTCTGAGCAGACAAGCGGCCCATCTGAGGCACTACCGCCCCGGCAGTGGGAAAGGCTTCCCGGATGGAGGCTTTCATCTGACTCATCTCTGGAAATAAGGCCAGGAAATAAGGGAATGAGTGAAATTCTTAGAACGTGGGAACCACAGGTTATACAGGCGACGCCCTTGTCCCCCGGTGCTCGAGCACAGCACGTGCCTCACGGGGACCCTGAGCAAGCGCAACGTGGCTTAAGTCAGCGCCTGCGACATGGGCATCCTATATGGCCATGCCAGTTCCAACTCCATGCCGCTCTGCTTCCGGTCCAGCTCCCTGCTGAGGTGCCTGGGAAAGTGGCGGAGCACGGGCCAAGTGCTTGGGTTGCTACAGCCATGTGGGAGACCGGGTGGAGTCTCTGACCCCCGGTCTCAGTGCGCCCCACACCTGGTTTTTTGTTTTGTTTCTGTTTTTGAAGATTTATTTTTATTGGAAAGTCAGAGGAGGAGAGACGGAAAGATTTTCTGTCCGTTGATTCACTCCCCAAGTGGCCACAACGGCTGGAGCCTCTTCCAGGTCTCCCCGACACGGGTGCAGGGTCCCAAGGTTTTGGACCGTCCTCCACTGCTTTCCCAATCCACAAGCAGGTTGCTGGATGGGAAGTGGAGCAGAGCTGGGACGTGAACTGGTGTCCATATGGGATCCCGTCATGTGCAAATCAAGAACTTAAGCTTCTAGGCTACCGTGCTGGGCCCTCCAGACCTGGTTGTTATAGGCATTTGGGGGAGTGAATCAGAAGATAAAAAATGTGTGTGTGTGTCTGTCTGTCTGAAGGTCGGCCTTCATGGAAATGGTGGAATGAGAAGATAATTTTGTTGCAAAAACAACCTGAGCCCATGCTCCGTTGTCTGATGCTGCAGGCTTCCTGGAAGCCTGTATAGATAGCTGGTGATCAGGGATGCCGCTGGTCACGGCCGCGGCCACGCTGCCTCTCGGCTTGGCTCCCAGGGATTAAGCTGCGTGGATTCACTGCTCTGACCCGCAGCCCTGAAGCCTCTGCCGCTGCACAGGGCAGTCATGTGTTCCCATATCCTAGTCCTACACAGCCAGATGGTGGCAGCGAGACAGTCAGGGACCTCCCACCCCCACCCTTTCCCGTCTTTGATGCTGCCCTCCCCTCAGCTCCCGGAAGTCCTCTCCATCCTGCCAGGCAGCATGAAGGACTGAAGTTGGGGCTGGTGAGGGGCCAGGCTGTGCAACCCTTGTCCCTCTCGGTCACCTGGCACTGAAGAACTGCTGAAAAGTGTAGCCTGGCTGGGCACTGCATCAGTTAATTTTAGAGGTGAGGGGGGACGGTGGAATGGATTGTCCCCCTTGCCTGCCATAATCCAGTGCCTTAAAACAAGAACCACTGATTTTGCTCGTGACTTGGGGGATCCTGGTGGACAGCTGGGCTCACTTGTGCCCAGTGTAACATGGGTGACCTCGCTCATGCTCACTGCCCTTCTGCCCACGTTAAGGTCCAGGTTGGAGACTTCTCCCTGGACACTCCTGAGCTCCCGTGTGCCCGTGCTGCACACACACACACACCCCTGCCTCGTTACAGCTCCAGTCCTCAGCTGCTCTGGCCCCCAGGCCTCGCAGCATGGGCTGTGCTGAAGGAGAAGGCAGGAGACCAGGAGGCAGAGAGGATGGACGTGAGCGTAGCTCTCCGTGACCCTCCTGTGCTGTCTGCCCGTGCAGGGACAGGGCAGGAAGTGCAGACCGAGAACGTGACCGTGGCCGAGGGGGGTGTGGCCGAGATCACCTGCCGCCTGCACCAGTATGACGGGTCCATCGTGGTCATCCAGAACCCTGTCCGGCAGACACTGTTCTTCAACGGCACCCGGGGTGAGTGCTGGAGGCAGGGGGCTTGGGGCCTGGACCCCTGGGTGTGAGGGAGGAGGGGCTGGGCCTGGACCCCTGGGTCTACAGGCAATAGGTGCCAGAACATTCTGGTATCCCCGGGATTCTTTTGTGGCCCACTTCCACCCTGAGGTGTGGCTGGAGGAAAGAAGCAGAGGCTGGCCTCTCAGCTCGGAGAGGAAAGGTGGGGGCTCTAGACCCCCAAGCCCCTGCCTTCCTCCTACGCCAGCCCTGAAGGACGAGCGCTTCCAGCTGGAGGAGTTCTCCCCGAGAAGGGTGCGGATCCGGCTGTCAGATGCCCGCCTGGAGGACGAGGGGGGCTACTTCTGCCAGCTGTACACGGAGGACACCCACCACCAGATCGCCACGCTCACCGTGCTAGGTACCAGCCTCCCCTCCGCCCATCTGCGTCCTCTCTCTCCAGCAAATAATACAGCATCCCTCTTTCCCCATCTCCCACCTTGTCCCTGCGTTGCTCTGGAGCCCTGCAGCCTTGGGTGCTTGGAGCCTAAGGGTGCCTTTCTTACCCCTTCTCCCTCTGCCACAGTGGCGCCCGAGAACCCAGTGGTGGAGGTGCGCGAGCAGGCGGTGGAGGGCGGCGAGGTGGAGCTCAGCTGCCTGGTGCCACGTTCGCGCCCCGCAGCCGTTCTGCGTTGGTACCGCGATCGCAAGGAGCTCAAAGGTGCGGGAGGCGGGGCCCGAGCTGGGTGGGGCTTGGCGCGGATGGGCGGGGCTAGTCTATCAGTGCTCAAAGGTGTGAGGGGGTGTGGCGACGCCGGAGGTGGGCGGGGCTTGGTGAAGAGACCAACCCCTCGGTGCGCGGAGGCGTGAGGGGGCGTGGCGATGGCGGAGGGAGGCGGGGCTTGTCCATCCGCAGGCAGAGGTGTGAGGGGGCGTGGCGATGGGTGGGCGGGGCTTGGTTATCTGGGCAGAGACGTGAGGGGACGTGGCTGGAGTGGGTAGCCTGCAGTCCCGTCCTGACCCTGTCCTCGCTGGGCAGGAGTGAGCAGCGGCCAGGAGAACGGCAAGGTGTGGAGTGTGGCAAGCACGGTACGCTTTCGCGTGGACCGCAAGGACGACGGCGGCATCGTCATCTGCGAGGCGCAGAACCAGGCGCTGCCCGCGGGCCACAGCAAGCAGACGCAGTACGTGCTGGACGTGCAGTGTAAGTGCCCGGCTGACCGGGGTGCAGGGCCGGGAGTGGGAGCTTGGCCCGCGTGAAGGCCTGGAGACAGCCCGCCCTTGGCTCTTCCGCCCGCAGACTCCCCCACAGCCCGGATCCATGCCTCCCAGGCCGTGGTGAGGGAGGGAGACACGCTGGTGCTGACCTGCGCGGTCACAGGGAACCCCAGGTGAGCTGAGGGCCTGGACGCCTGTGTCCCAGGAGGGAAGGGAGATGTGGGGGGGTGGCTGGAGGACTGCCAGGGTGGGAGGGCCCTGGAGGGTTTGGAGCCCTGGCAGCTGGGCAGATGGCTGGGAAGGAAAGGGTCGGCCAGTCGGGGGGGCCTCCTGCTTGGAGGTCCTGCAGGGTCAGCTGCACCTCCTCTGGTCACACCTGGGTGCCGGGGCCTTGGCGTCCTGGCTGTCACACGTCTCCTTTCACCTCTCTGCCTCGGCCCCCTGCCCAGGCCCAACCAGATCCGCTGGAACCGCGGCAATGAGTCGTTGCCGGAGAGGGCGGAGGCGGTGGGCGAGACGCTCACCTTGCCGGGCCTCGTGTCGGCGGACAACGGCACCTACACCTGCGAGGCGTCCAACAAGCACGGTCACGCGAGGGCGCTCTACGTGCTCGTGGTCTACGGTGAGGGCAGGGCACAGGTGCTGGGGGCTTGGGCAGGGCAGGGCAGGTAACTCAAGGGCAGACAGCCGGCTGGGCACCTGCTGACTTCACATCTGACCCCGCTAGCCTCTCATCTTAGTCTTCCCACCAGCAGGGGTGTTGGGAGGAGACCCCAGCTAAATGTGCAAAGGGGTGGCTGTGCTCCCCTCCCCGGCAGCTAACGAGTGTCATGCAGTGCGCAAGGGGCAAGTGGGCTGTGCCGTGACACCCCCAGAAGTCAATCCATGGGGCAGAATGGCCTCCGAGTTCCCAGCAGTTGGCTGGGGCTGAACTTGGGGTAACCTGGCCCTGCAATCGCGTCCCTCCGCAGACCCCGGTGCGGTGGTCGAGGCTCAGACGTCGGTTCCGTATGCCATCGTGGGGGGCATCCTCGCCCTCCTTGTGTTCCTTATCATATGTGTGCTAGTGGGCATGGTCTGGTGCTCTGTACGACAGAAAGGTGAGTGTGGTCAGGGGTGGGCTGTGGCCTGGGGACCCCGGGGCCCACAGCCCAAAGCAGGAGGGTGGGGGAGCCAGGCAGTCAGGTCCTGGGGCAGTGGGGCGGGCTGAGGAGGGATTGGATTCCAGCTACCTGTTAAAGCACCCCGGGCGGCTGCACGTGTTGGCTCCCTAGTTCTCCTGGCTTCTGCCTTCCGCCTGGCCCAGTCCCCACCATGGCAGGCTCTCTGCCATTCAAACAATGAGTTTATGTCTTAAATAAATCCAGCGGGACCTGAGGCTGATTCCAAAGAAGGCAGGATTCTAAAAGCGACGAGAAGCTGAATTAAGGGTGCAGATGGAAATAAGCAGACAGTCTGCTGACGGGGACAGGGGGAGCGGGGAGGTGGCTTTCATCCCTTTTACCGTACCTTTTATCCCCTGATTGTCCCCTTCCTGACCCCTGACCGCTCCCTGTGTGTCCCCTCTCACCCTACTCCTGGGTCTGTCCCGGGGACTGCCTTGTCATCCGCTCAGGCTCCTATCTGACCCATGAGGCCAGTGGCTTGGACGAGCAGGGAGAAGCCAGAGAAGCTTTCCTCAATGGCAGCGACGGACACAAGAGGAAAGAAGAATTCTTCATCTGACCCCACCCTCACCCCGGGCCTGGGCCTGGGCTGGGGTTCCCCCCTCTGCCCCCCGCCCCACTGCCAGCTGCAAGGAGCCAGCAGAGACATTTACCAGAGCCGGGGCTGGTGGGCTTCTCCCCCCACCACTAACATGTCGGATGCTTGGACAGGGATGGGGCGGGGGACTGGATGCCTGGATCCCCGCGGGGGCCAGGAGCGAGGACTCAGATGTTCGGTGCCCCAGAGGCCAAGGACCTAAGGTCCAGACAACCCCCCCAACACACACAAACACACACCCCTGAGTCCAGGGAGGGCAGTAGGGATTGGGTAGGGGGCTGAGGATTGGGGGCAGGCCAGGGCCCCGGGGCAACCGAGCCAGGTCTTGTGGGAGGGGGTCAGATTCTGGGGAAAGTGGGTGGGCAGGGAAGGGGAACGCAGGTTTCTTTGGGGGTCTCAGACCCCACGCCAGCCATTGTGAGAGTTCGTAGAGCTCTGGGCACCTCTTTGCAAAGCCATGTTTGCACGGTCGGGGAAGGGTGGGGGGCGGGCGTGAAGCAGGGATTCCGTGTCTACGTGTGATAGCTGATGGGGCAGTGGGGGAGATGCCCCCCTCCCCAGGTCTCTGGGCCCCCCTTCCCTCTGCCCTCATGTCTATCCCACTCCCATGTGTGTCTGTCCACCCACTCCTGGGGGGCCTTCCCCATCTCTCCTCCAGGCCCCCCGGGGAGGGGGAAACGAGTTTGGGGGGGAGGGGAATATGTGGTCTCTATGGTTTTATATATAATATATTAAAAAATCAAAAATCTGTATGAAAATATCAGATTGCACCCCCTCCCCTATTCCTGGCTATGGCCCCCTTTTTCTTGTAAAAAAAAATAATAAATAAAAACCACAACATTTTGTACAGGGCAGGGAGGGGAACGGGGAGGGGGTTTGGCAATCCCACTAACCACCATTAAACTGAGGAGAGAACAAGCATTGGGTGGCCGTCTGTCTGTCCCTTGGCTTAAAGCTGCATCGCTGGGAGGGATGGGAGGGGGAGGGGTGCTGGGGACAAGGGGGATGGTTTCTGATGCACTGGCCTCACCAGGGCACGTCACCCACCCAAGGAACCTGGCTTGTCCCCTGACACTTCTTTCACCAGTCACCAAACCTCCCATCCGAGTAATAACCAGGCCTGACCCTGCTTAGCTGCTTCATTTTTTAAGATTTAATTGTGGTGATGTTTAAATAGTTGACAAGGATGCATGCCCACGTGGACCACTGATTAGGGTGGGAAGGGTTGAGGATTAGGGGAAAGTGGGTGACACCCTTGTTTCCAATTTCCCTTTTCTTCCTCCTGTGTCTGGGGCAAGGGAGTGGGAGGTAAGGAGAGAAGCCACACCCAGCTTCCCAACCTCCTCAGTACCCCAAGATGGGGAACAACGGCCACCTGATAGCACCCCAGCATCCCAGCAGTGGAGCATGCTGGGGGGGAGGGAGGTTCTGCCCAAGTGGTTTCCACACTTCCAAAATGCTATTGATCTTGCTGATCCAAGAATGAGGAAATCCTTCCAAGGTCCATTGGCTGACACAGTCCATCTCAGAGTCTCCATTCACCCAGATATTTGCTGTCAACACTTGGCTGGGAGAGTTGCTCAGTTTGTTCAGCCCTCCATCCTCTGCTATGGCACTAGATGTCCTCTGCAGGCTCCAGTGGACTGCCATCTCCCCATGTGCATCTGGACGTGCCGTCCACTGCTCTGTCTCCAGTAAATGGGGATGCTGGGCCAGAGCACCCACTGGTTTCTGTAAGAGATGGGGCTGCAGACAGAACTGACCTAGCAGCTGCAACCACCAGTGTGTGTGTGTAGGGTGCTGTGGGTGACAGACTTAAGCTGACCCCACACCATCTAGCACACACAAGTCAGGTCTTGGGCCACCTCAGGTGAGGTTTCTTTGGGTGGGCCCCTCACTGAACTGCTGGATTCAGGACTCCAACCATGAGGAAAACTGCAGGATCTCTGGCCTGACCATGGAGTGCATGTGTCAGAACTGGGCCTTCCCACTTGCTGGAGACAGAGCAGTGGACGGCACGTCCAGATGCACATGGGGAGATGGCAGTCCACTGGAGCCTGCAGAGGACATCTAGTGCCATAGCAGAGGATGGAGGGCTGAACAAACTGAGCAACTCTCCCAGCCAAGTGTTGACAGCAAATATCTGGGTGAATGGAGACTCTGAGATGGACTGTGTCAGCCAATGGACCTTGGAAGGATTTCCTCATTCTTGGATCAGCAAGCTCAACAGCATTTTGGAAGTGTGGAAACCACTTGAGCAGAACCTCCCTCCCCCCCAGCATGCTCCACTGCTGGGATGCTGGGGTGCTATCAGGTGGCCGTTGTTCCCCATCTTGGGGTACTGAGGAGGCTGGGAAGCTGGGTGTGGCTTCTCCCCTTACCTCCCACCCCCTTGCCCCAGACACAGAAGGAAGAAAAGGGAAATTGGAAACAAGGGTCTCATCCACTTTCCCCTAGTCCTCAACCCTTCCCACCCTAATCAACTAGGTAACCATCATTAAGTATAATTTGCAAAAGAAGAAAGTGGGTGGGTGGGGAGATGAATGGGTCAAGTCACAGACCTTGGAATATCAAAAGAAAAAAGTAAGGAGACCTGCTTAGGGCGTGGTAGGTCAAAATGGGGACAATTTTTCCTCCCTCCAGGTACTTTTCACACTGGGTGATGGAGAGGTTTGTGTGTTTGTGTGTGTGTGTGTGTGTGTGTGGTATTTGCTTTGTTTTGCTTTTGCCCTTGCAATTTCCTATAAAGCCTCCCATATTCCTTGGCTAAAAACAACATTAAGCATTAAAATCACCACCTATGGAAAGCCCTTGCAGAACCTGAGGGTGGTTGGGGCATGTCGCAGCTTCTTGGCGGGTTCTCTGCTCCACGCAAGCTGCTTCTGACCCTTCCGACCAGAGGCTGCTGACATAGACCCTAAGGGACTGTGCCTGGGACACTGACCACCGGGAGGGGAATCTGACAGCTGCAGACAAGCATCCCTCCCGGCCCAGGGTCATGGCTTTAGGATGCAAAGTGACCCCAGACCAAGGCCAGCAGTGGACAATCCCGCGCGCTAGTCTGCAGTCCCTGTGCGCCTGCGCCTCTTCACATCGCCCCCTCCCCACCCCAGGCTCTATGCTAATCCCTGCGCTCGGGAGGCCTGCCTCTCCGGGGAACGTGGAGATGCACAAATGGCCTGCCATTGTCCCCTGAGAGGTCGAAGCAGATGGGCGGGCCAGGGGGTCGGGCGCCCCGCGCCCTCCGCCCGGCTCACGCGCGCGCGCGCGCCCCGCAGGCCGCCGATGGACTATACCAAGTCCTGCAGGGCCTCGAGGGGCCGCGCACGCACGCACCCCCGCACGCGGCCCGGTGGACCGCCCGGCGCGCACAGCCCCCTCTCTCAGCCCCCCGCGCGCCGGGAGTGGTCGGGCTCGCCGCGCACGCGCTCTGCGCTCCGTCCCTGCCCTCCCGCCGGCGCAGGCGCGGGGCCCGGGCGCGTGCAGCCGCCGCCACCCACCGCCGGGCCCGACCGGGGGTCCGCGCGGCCACCGTGACCGTGAGTGTCCGCGGGTGGGAAGGGGCGCGCGGGGAATGCCGGGAAGCGGGCGCTACGGCGGCCCCGCGGCATGACGGGAGTTGACACCTCCTGTCATCGAGCGCGGGCCGGGCGGTGTGGGGTGGGCGACCCGGCCTGCTGCCCTGACGGGGGTCAGGGGGACCGGGCACTGCGCCTTCAGGCATGGGGGCCGGTCGGTCGTTCCAGGCCTGGGTCGGAGTCTCCCTTTTGTCACCCAGCTTGGGCCGGGGGTGCCGGGCGCCCTGGCGGGTGGTCGTTCCAGGCCCGAGGCCTCCTGGGAGGCATCGCTGCAGGGCATTGTGGGGACTCGGGGACTAAGATCAGACGTGGTGCCCATTGTTCACGCAGGGCATCGTGGGGCTTTAGACTTGGCATTGGTGGCCTCCACCACACCAGCGCTGTATTATATTTTTTAAAATTAAGATTTATTTATTCTGGGCCAGGCGAGGTAACCTAGTGGCTAAAGTTCTCGCCTTGCATCTACCAAGATCCCATATGGGTGCTGGTTTTGTGTCCTGGCTGCTCCACTCCCGTCCAGCTCCCTGCTTGGGGTCTGGGCAAGCGGTCCAGGACAGCCCAAAGCTTTGCGACCCTGCACCCATGTGGGAGACCTGGAAGAGACTCCTGGCTTCGGATCAGCTCAGCTCCAGCTGTTGCAGGGGAGTGAACCAGTAGACAGAAAATCTTACTGTCTCTCCTTTCCTCTTCAGATCTGACTTTGCAGCTTAAAAAAATATTAGAAAAGCAGATGCATAGAGAGAGAGTCAGAATGATCTTCCATCCACTGGTTCACTCCCCATATGGCTGTAAATAGCCGGAGCCGAGCCGATCCAAAGCCAGGAGCCAGGAGCTTCTTGCAGGTCTCTCACATGGGTTCAGGGCCCCAAAGCTTTAAGTCATCGTCCACTGCTTCCTCAGGCTGCAGCCACGACGCAGCAAAGGAAGTGGAGTAACTGGTATATGAGCTGGCACCCAAAAGGGATGCTGGCGCTTGCAGGTGGGAAACAAATTGAGCCATTACGCAGGCCCCTGCATGGCTTTATTTATGGAAATTGCAGAGTGGACAGAGACGTACATCTTGCATCTGGTCCACTCTAATGTGGCAGTGGTCACAGCTGGGTCTGGGTGAGGTGGAAGCTGAAAGCCACATCAACAAGGACCCAGAAAGTTAAGGTGTGGTCACAGCTGCTCAGGTGCAGCAGCAGGGAGCTGGGTGGAAAGAGGAGTGGCCAGGACTCACAGTCTTCCAGGATTAGCCCCTCCTGTGAGCTAATGAAGCTGGCCCTCCTCAGTAGGGAGGGGCCCTTTATTTGTGACCTTGGGCAAGCCCAGGCAGGACCAGTTAACCTTAGAAGCCCCACTGCTTTTGGTTGTTTAGTGGCTGGATAAACTTAGAATGCCTAGGTTAA